CATTCACCAGAAAGACAGAGAGAGACAGAGAGACAGAAAGCGAGATATCACCCCCACCCCCCAGGGGGGAATAGCCATGCTGCAATCCCTTCTCCTCTTTTCTCCTCTTGGGATTTTGGGCACACACACACATGTGTCCGGCATGAGTTTAAGCCACCAGGTCTGGGACTCGAACCGCGGTTGACTACATGGGAGTCCAGAGACATAGCCATTACGCTAACTGCTGGTCCCCATGATTATGATTTTCAAGCAGACCTTTAAGTTGCCAGGAAATCAGTCTGTTTTCAGTTCATTTGCACTTCTATTCTCCTAAATGACCATTTTAACATTTCTCATGTTTTTCTCAATCCCTGAACCTTGTCTCCAGTCTTCACTTTTAGTTGGTGACCTTGATTCTTGTTCCACCAAGAAAAGTGAAATAATAGTAAAACAGCTTCCACAGACTTCTGCTGCCCATCCACCTATCCATCAGCATCCACATCTGTGTACTCTGCCTTCCTGTCTGACAGTTACCATGGGTGACTATCCATGTTCCCTTCTAAATGGAACCCCTCTACAGGTATACAGATCTCATCCTGGCTTTTCTGTTCCAGGGTTATCACTCTAGCAAGTCCATCTTCTTTATCTTCTATCATCACATTTTCACTCTTTTCTGAATCACTTCCATTAGACTATCAGCTTACCATTATTTCTTCATTATTTTAAAAAAATAATTATTTTATTTTATTTATTATCATTATTATTATTTTTAATTTGACCAGAGAAAGACACAGAAAGAGAGGGAAAGTGAGAAAACAAGCCGCTAGGTCAGGACTTGAACTGCCATCAGCTATGTGAAAGTCCAGTACCTTAACCACCACACCACCCACCGGCCCCCTGTTTCTTCCTTATTAAAAAACAAAAGCACACAACAAATAATATTCATGCCTCATTCCATTCCTAGTCCCTCCCCCCAAAAGTAGCAGCTGCTTCATTTTTTTGTTTCCCTTTGCAGAAAAACTATTTGAGAGAGTTAATCTATAATTACTTTCTCCAATTATGCTGCTTCTGTTCTTCTTAAACCCACTCCAGTTAGGTCTTTGCCTCCATTTCTCCATCTAAGCTGCTGTCCTCAAGGTCATTTGTGATTTATGTGTTGTTCTGTTCCATGGTTAATTCTCCCTTTTTATCTGACATGTTAGCTGCCACTGGTAGAGTTGTTTACTTTTCTCCTTCTCCTCCCATATACTTCATTGATTTAGCTTCCAGGATACCTCGTACTTTCTTGGTTGTCTGATTATCCCATTGGTTGCTCCATCCTTCTCTCCTTTGCTGGTTCCTCTTTTTTGTGACCTGAAGTTCCTAGGAACTATTGCTGTTCCTCTTCTACACTCATTTGTTTGGCAATGGCGATATCATTCAGCTTCTTGACCTTAAGAATCCTTTATCTTAATGCTGGCATTTCTCACATGTATACCCTTAGCCTTAGCCCTGACCTTTCTTCTTCTTTTTCCTTTTAAAGTTTATTTTATTTATTTCAATGATAGTAGAGGGACAGAGAAAGAAAAGGAGGGAGATAGGTACCCTTTGACAGGGTTTCTCCATCCCACCATCCTCCCTGGCCCACTCAGCCAGCTAGTATCACTGGTACGTGTGGGTGTACCTGTGTGTTCTGGTCTACCTGCCCCCACATAGGACTCCAGAATCATGCAGCAGTGCCCTACCATCTGTGCCACTGTGGTCAGGCCAGAGACCTTTCCATTGAACTTCAGACTTGTATATCCAACTGCCTACTAGATATTTCCACTTGCATTTCTAGAGGGCATCTCAAATTTAACATTGCCAAAAACTGCACTCCTGATCCTCCTACCCAAAATCTGTTCTATCTACAACTTCCCTATCTCAGTCGATGAAACTTCATCTTTTCCATTGCTTTGGCCAAAATCTTTGGTATCATTCTGGACTCTTCTCTTTCTTCCATTCTCTGCATCTAATCATTCAATAAATCATTTTGGCTGTCTTTGACATATGTCTAGAGTATGACTATCTCTTACCACTCTGTTCATATCAGCGCAGTGAGGACTGAGTAATTCCCACCTGTCTTACTGTGATCATCCCTAACTGGTCTCTTTGATTCTTTTCTTACCCATCCACTGACTATTCCTAACACAGCTGCCAGGGATCTTTCAAAACAGTATGTCACGGGAACCAGCAGTTAGCGTAATGGCTATGTCGCTGGACTCCCACGTAGTCGACCGCGGTTCGCGTCCCGGACCCGGTGGCTTAAAACTCACGCCGGGCGCGTGTGCGTGCGTGCCCAAGATCCCGAGAGGAGAATGGAGGAGAAGGGATTGCGGCGTGACCATCCCCCCTGGGGGGTGATTTCTCGCTTTCTGTCTCTAATGTCTCTCTCTGTCTGTCTGGCGAGTGCACGCGCCCTATAGTGAAAATCTCTCCAAAAAACCAAACAAACAAAAAAAACAAAACAAAAAACAAAAAAACAAAAAAA